AAATTTGGTTGTCCATGTCCTACCTAGTGATTGTTGGACGAGGAATAACTAATAAGTGCTGTGTGAAATAGAGATGGCTTGTTAATGTTCCTAAAAGGGAATTTATTGTGGTATTCCCATAAAATTATTCTCGTGTTAAAGACTAAGAAGACAAATAATTCCTCCTAAAATTCTTTGCTCCCCGTTTACTAATTAAACCTTTTTTATATAAAAAAAGCACATGGCCCCACATTTTAAGTACATTTTCTAGAAGTTCGCATATATGGGACACAAGGAGTAAATGATTTGTTCCTTTGTACAAGTCGTTTTTCACTTTTCTTTTCCATTCTATAGTCTGCTCAAGACTCTAAACATTAAAACGTAATATTATTAAGAGGAGTAAAGCAATATCTTACACGTTGATCAATAATTTCATATTTAGCCGATGTTTGATTTTACTATAACGTGCCTTCACAAAATGGTGGCTCGTATACTAGATTGTTCTTTTCTACTTTAGACTGATCAAATTGCTCCGTTACACTTGTCGGGCTCTAATATTATTTTAAAATTTTCATTTGGACATATCAAATTTGTTAAGATGAGTAGCCAAAAAAATTACACGTTGATTAACATTCATGTATAATCAATGATAAATTTTATTTAAAATTACTTAAAAATAACTTTTACTCGTTAAACTTCGCCAAACACATTTGTACTGTCACATGTTTTGTGGGACATAGCTGTGTACACTTTTAATGAAAATGACTAGTTTATGTGTCCTATTTGCAACTGCAAATGGAATAGAGTAATGATGTCCAGCCTATTGAGGTTGCAATTTCAATTTAGGTGTCGCTGATATGACATTAAATGATCTTTCATTTAGCATATCATCTAATGTCATCTAAATTGTGGTTGCAACCCTCCGTCGAGTTACATAACATTATTCAATGGAAAGAGTAAAGCAAACGTTAAGGTTATGTTTGAGAATAATAATATTATAGGTGGCGTTAATGTGAAATTAAATAAGTCATTTATCGTCTATACTTTTATAAAAGCAGTAAACTCCAAAAGCATTAACTCCAAAGGGCAAACGTAGCAGCAGAGGTAGTTGCCTTTCATAAAAGCAGTTATCAATTTTGTACCACTTGGATTGCGACCGCCCAATTCTGTCCTCTCTCTCGTGGTCTCCAAGTAATCAAAGGAATTGTGGTTAACTGACGGTTAACGTAAGTCACTTTGACTCCAGCTAGATAAACTAATATTGTCCTTCTAAGATTTAGACCGCCAAACTCTACTATAAAAAAGGCTTACACTCATGAGTTTGAATCATCTGCAAACACTTATTCGATCGAGCCCCGTCGCACTAGGCTTGCTTAGTAAGGTTTACCTCTCCTGTGTGCTTTGCGAACTACTGCACACGAAGCGAGATTTACCTAGTGCGCACTCACATTGGTAACGGTTGCGGGTTCTTACGTCAACATAAAAAAAAAAAAGGCTTACACTTGTTCATATCATATTAAATGACATTGAATTAAAAGTTTAAAATGTTAGAAAAACAATTATTTATCCAAATTGTATGTTAATAGACAAAAATATAAAGTATTTTGTAAAAAATTGGCCCGAACTTTCCAACCTTTCACGTGGTATACTTGAGGATCTTAAACCCCTAAAAGTGCGCTACAGGTCCTCAACTTAGATATTAAAATGCAAGCAAATTTCAGATGAATTGAATAGAAATGTTAGGTGGTTTAATGATTTTACCCTCTAACTTTGAATAAGTGAAAGTCATTTACGATTCTAAAATCTACGTCAACAATTCATAACCCAAATTTATAAAATTAAGCCACTATTTGGTTTATCCAAAATTAAATTTTTTAATAGATTTTGATAAAATTTAATGAAATATTTACTTAAAAAGTTGTG